TTGTTCGAGGAACCTGCGAGCGCCGAACGCCACCGCGCAAGGATACCTAAAGTCAAAAGCCGGCGTACAAGCTCTTCCCACGTGATCGTTACCGCTTCTGAAAGGGCATGCCTCCGATTAGTGGATTGCCGTGACTGAACGCGGGCACGCACGCACGCATGCACACCGATAAAAGTTGATACAATCGACGTCCCTCGTTTCGAGAACCGAGTTCTCGCAGAGGAGTCGACGACAATGCATTGTAGTGAGGCCCTGTACGCGTATTTTTATCAGTCGATATGAGACAGCTGCCGCTCCGACCGAAAAGCAGGCTTTCTGCTCGGCCGGCCGGCCGACCGACCGATCCGCGGACGCTTTCGGGAAGCTGTTTCTGGTTGTTGCCTTCCGTAGGTTTTCTGTTTGTCGACGTCGGCCGTAGCCTCGGTAACCTACTCGCTGTAACAGGTGCATCGTCATCGCGGGAAACGAAGCGTGTTGTGAGCAGGTTTTTTCTCTTTCGTTCTCTTTAGGCTCCTGGGAAGCCGCCACCGTGTTGTCTCGGTCGTCGTTGTCGCATTAGCAGAAAAACCGCTGCCGCCGATGTGGCGAGACTTTCTGGTCCGACAACCGCTTCTTGCCCTTGACTTCGGATGCCTCTTGTTCACGCATCGAGCTACATTGAACCGCAGACACACAGTCTTTGAATGACCTTCGGCCGCCCGGCTGGTCGATCTGACACGGTCGACTTCGGCGGGACTTGTGTAGAAAACCCGTCGCACGTAATTTCTGTTGACGTCATCAATTAACATTCCTCAACCTCTGGCCCCGTTTTTGAACGTACTATGTCAGTCATCGTAGCGGCCCACGCTCGAGTATCCCTCGTCTTCTATGGTTTTCTGGAGAGGCAGAGAGGAAATGAAAAAGGGAACTGAATGAACGTAAACAACCCACGGCTCGTCAAATCGTTGTTTCAGTTTCGCTTCTCTCTCCGCGTTCACGAGGTTCCCGGATGGAAGCGATCATCATCATGCACCAATACTTTGACTGCTTGCCAGACGTCTCTGATGCGCGTGACGTTTCCGGAGAGTTTCATCGAGCAGATCGAAGTGACGACATGTCCATTCCATGTAAGAACAACAACAATAACAAGAACATTTCATGGTGGATTCCGAGAAAAAACGGCGAGCACTCGAGTGCTGCATCGATTCAGCAGTTCCAGTCCACGATCTGGGCTTGTAGCGACGGCAAAACTTCCGAAATATCTGAGTTTTTCATGCTTGTTCCGAATTTCTTTCTTTTTATTCTTTGTCTCCACGGATCGTTCGCTTCGGATGCCAAGATTCAGGCCGAAAACACATGAATGGAAAAACTAGGGAACGATTTCAATCGGGCGACAGTCAACGCGGAGCTACTGTGAATAATAATGAACCTGGGATCAATGAAGAGTCACGACGTTGGATGATTTTGATCGGGGTTGATAAGGTTTTGAGAGCTTGATCGATTGATGTTATGGAGAGCTAATTAGACTTGAGGTCAAACCTTGACTCGAGGCCACGACCGCTGTGGATGGTACTGAACCGCACGAACCGTAACCACCGATATCGAAACCGGTGGAACGTCGGAAAATTAAGCTCAGCTGGATGGTCAATCGGCTCACGGGGATGCCACCACCGTGGGAATCCAGCAATCGGCGGAGTATGCCGAGAACGGAGAGTTTTTCTACACGTGTGAGGAATGATATGGGATTGATTGCGAGAATTTGTTCACGGAGAAATGTTTTTGGTCGCGGCGGAGGAGGACTGCTTCCCCCAATCGTCTGACTCGGCGATTTCCATTCCTGCGATAACGACTGATTCACAACCGAAATATGAATTCGGAATATATTCATGTTTGTCGGAGATTCCCATCGGATGAGAAGGGGGAAAAGCGGGAAAATCCATTCACGAGTTGCCCCTCCACATATGCGAAACCGAATTGTCGGACCGGGAATCATGCGGCTCACATCGGCACCAGGAGGTTTTGGGTAAACGTAAAAAGTTGCGAACTTCCTCGGCGAAATCCAGCATCGAGTCCGCGATGATTATTTAAGGCTCAGCGCTATGGACCGAACAAAGCTCCATTCGAAATGAAGTTGTAAGCGACAGCGAAACCCGAGCCTGATTGACACCAGTATCAACGCGGTGCGCTGCTTTTGCCCGAGCGTTGAGAGTCTCTGGAGACAAAACGCAAGAGCTGTCAGAATAAACGAAAGCGCGACGACCGGGAACTACCGCGGATTTGCCGAGAGCACCCGTCTTCGAGAAAATCAATGGAATGTGGTCAGTGAACGGAACTTATCTGGACGTTCTCTGCGCGATATGAAAGTCCATGAACGCATGCCAGGCTGGTGAATACCTGACCGCGTATAATTGTTCCACAGAGTAACCTGCTCGATCACGATAACAAGTTCCCGCGTTCGAGAGTCCATGACGTTTTACTCGCTCAAGCGAATGTGTCAGGCAGATACGTATGTTGGCTGAGACATCTACTCACCCTGACCAATGCCCAAGCTGGAACGAGGAGAAATCCTTTCAAAACAGCTCTTTCTTCGTTCTCCTTGTTGGCCCCTTCACCCATTCTCCTGTGCGCTCTGGGGGAGCCGTGAAGATGTTCCAATGTCTAAATGAGCAGAAACACGGATGCGGAACGATATTTATCCTTCAGTACGGTCACAGAATCACTGGGATCTAACTCTCTGTCTCACAGCGCGCCGCGACGAGCGTCGACTGAAATTTCGGTTCGCGCTACGCTGAGCCTAGAGAGAAAGGGACGACGCGACGTCGACACCGTCGCCGATCGGAGAGGAGCTCGCGCCGTGTATTTGAAAATTTCTGCTGTGGACTGCCGGCTGTGATAGCGTCTAAAATACCGGCGTAGCAAGGATTAGAGTCTTCTTTCATGAGGATCATGAAAACCTTCAGGAGATGAGGTAATCGTTGGTTTGTCTGGAGCTGGACACTATGTAGCTCTAGCTCCTAGCCTGTACACCGAGCAGAAAAACCCCAGGAGCTGTCTCTCCGACATTCGAAATGAAACACCGGAGACTGTCTGGACCTTCAATAATCGAGCTGTCTTCAGCCTGTCTTTGGATGGGGAGGCTCGAAGTGCATACATGTGACCAGAAAATGAAGAACGGACCCGACGGGATCAACTCCTAATACTTTGGGGTCTTCCACAGGATCTGGAGCATCGGATGTTTTTTTTCGAGCTCGAGATCCTCAGCTCTTGAAGCGTGAACTTGTGATCCGGATTCTACCCCCCAACTACATACTCAGCTATCTTAATGCTCGACTCGGTGCGCCCGTCTCGCTCGAAAGACGGATAATCTCCGATATCACTTCTAATGAATTATATCTATTCACGGGGAGCCACCGCTGCTTCCCCGCTCGGGGCACGCGAGAGACATCCTGAATCAAAGTGAGCAAGTGTAGTCGAACTTTTCTGCGACTTTCGCCCCCCCCCCCTTAAGCGTTAGTCAGTCCCTAGACATTGCTCATTCGTAGATGCGATGGCCGGTCTGAACCGATGGTGCTAAACCGATGCGCTAATAACTTCCCTACCGACCGGCACCAGGACCCACAGGCTCTCGATGGTGCAGTCGCAGCGTGCGAGTACACGCCGTGTCCGACGTTAGGAGGCGAAGCTTCCGCAGCTGTGTCATTCGGCCGTAAGGTGCGATACCAGCTCAGTTTTTCCTGGCCGGTTCCCCCTAATCTCCGATTTCCCACTGCGATTTGCTCCCGTCGCGTCGGTTCGACGGACGAGATCGAATACTCAAGATCAAGTTCAACAAAAATGGATTATATAAGCTCGGTTTTGAAGCAAAGTGTGATGTACTTTTAATTAATCTATATTGATTTTGAGTTCTTAAATTGCTGAGCTCGAACAATCGAGTACCCCAATGTTGTAGTCGCCGGTTCTTGAAGAATACACAAGTGGCACTTCCCTGTGACTTCCGCAGCGCCTGAGATTGATTTGACCGCACTGCTGCGGTCGGGAGCCCGAGGAAGGGAAGGAGGGGCTGGTGCTGAACGAACTCTGGTGCCTGAACGGGTCCGCCTGGCCGAAATTTGCACCGAGATAAATTCCCGCGCGAATCAGCGAAGGTTTTCCACCGAGCATTTGTGAAATGAAAGATGTTCTAGAGGGGAGCTAGAGGTAATACTGACAACAATATGGGAATCACCTCAACACACTTCACTCTCGTCAGGCACTTTGAATATGCCCAGAGGATGATCCCTGAGACCATGAGTAACCCGAAACATGTGCTTCTATAAGCTGCCCTCAGAAGCCGGGGGACCGGATGGAGGGGCCTGTAGAGCCCTCCACCGTCGTCCTCGTCATCATCGATGACGATGATTCGTTCAGCTGCCGAAACCGGGACCTCGGACTCATCATCCTGCGTCAGATCAATGATGCAGGGTTCCGGAACCTTGATCTGAGCTGGTCCCGGCTGAGCTCCGTTTTCCTCCTGCGTTTGGTCGATGAGGGTCTTCCCTCGCTTCGCTGGCCGGTCATTGTGCACCTCATCGGCCGAGCGCTTCCTCTCGGGCTGCTCTTCTCCTCCCAAAGTCCCGAGGACCGGTTTTTTTTTGGAGAGAGGAGGGAAATGCCTTGGTGCACACCTGGGACGAGTCGTCAGATCCCACCAGGTAGTGTGGGGCTCGCACCCACTCAAACCCTGAACCTCTCTGCCTGTGGGCGTCCGGGGAAAACAGGAGGAGCTATGCTTGCACCTTTGAGGGTACTTCCGGTCCGCCTGAGGCGCTCTTTCGGGAACCTCGTGACTACTTCACCTACTTGTGCGTTTTATCGACTAGATTTCGCCTTCACGTTGCGTCTCTTCTCAGCGCCGCGGAGCGTTCGGGCGTCTGCTCTCCGACACTCGGGAGTCGTCTTCTACCCTCCTTTCGTTTGAGCATGCGTCCTATGCTTCTAGCTGCTGTGCTCCACTCCTCTTCGGAGGTGAGCATCTCCTCTACCATTTCTGGGGTGCTGCGCGCAACGATACCGATCCTTTGGTGGGCAAAGGCCTCGCAGCGGAGGATCGTATGATTAGCGCGGTCGGCCTCGCCGGAGTCGCATTGGCTGCAGACGTTCGATGTTGCGAGTTTGAATCTGTGGAGGTATGCCTGGAAGTTGCCGTGATTCGTGAGGGCCTGCGTTGTGTGGTAGTCAACATCTCCGAAGGGTCTCTCGTACCACGTCTCCAGGTCCGGTATGCACTTGGATGTCCATCTTTTTTTTTTCGCGTCGCCACTGGAAGAGCCATTCTTTGATACTTTCCTCTCGGGCTTCCGCTTTGTTCCCCGTGCCCGTCACGGGGTCTCTTTCAACCAACCCGTTCGATCTCAGACCGAGTTCGTGGAGCATCTGTCTTTCCCTCGCTAACAGAGTCCCGGGCGGTGTCCTCGCCAGGAAAAGCGCGGCAGCCGCAGAAACTGTCCGATAGCACCTTGTGATTCTGATTGCCATGATCCTCTGCGTCCGAAGGACTGCTTCCCTGTGTCTCTCGGGCTCGAGAGATCTTGTGCCCCACACCGGAGAGGCGTTCAGCGCTATAGATTCAGCGACGGTGGCCAGTATCCTTCGCTGAGTTTCGGTCGCTCCGTACGTTCTCGGGAGGATCCGGCCATATTGGTGGCTGCTTTCGTGGCTTTGGCCAGCGTCGTCTTGAGGTGTTCTTTCCGGGTGAGGTTCTGCTCCAGAATGACTTCCAAATATCTGGCACAGGGACGTATTCCAATGGTGTGTCCTTCGAGGGTGACCGCGGGATCAGAATATTTTCTTCGGCGCAGGAGCATAACCGTCTCGCACTTTTGGGGGGCTAGCTGTAGGCTGTGTCTTCACATCCATCAGGATATGACGTCCAGGGAGTCTTGTGCTATGTCCTGAACTTCTGCGATCGATTCGGCGGTGACGATGAGGGCAAGATCGTCCTCACTGGCTATTGTTCTCGGCCCAGCCGGAAGTCGGAGCCATATGCGACACTTCACTGGGTCGGTCCAAGCACCGAGCCCTGACGCTTCCGCCGTCATTTGATGTCTCGCGCCATTCTCGTCTTGTATCCACCTTTCCTGCCTGTATGATACAATGATTCTGGTGAGGTAATGCGGGAAAGCTCTGTCCCGCACTTTGTCTATGACGATGTTCCAGCGGATCGAATTGAATGCATTCTTAACGACGGGGGGAATAATCATGCATCTCTTTCTTTTCGCCCGAGGTCTTCTCTGTTCCTTCTCGACGTGGTCAAAGACCATTTGCAGAGCGCTCATGGTAGACCTCCCTCCTCTGAACCCGAACTGGCTGTCTGCTAAGCCTCCGCTGTCATCCAAGAAGTCCTGCAATCGGCGGTTTATGACACTTTCGACCGCTTTCGCAGTCGTACCGAGCAGACACATTGGCCGAAAGCACCCCTTTCTGCCGGGTTTCGGGATGAGGTCCGCCAACTTCCATGCGTCGGGGAATACTCCCCTCGCCAGCATGTCATCGATAATCTTCGCGAAAATCTGTGGCCAGCGTTCGATAAATCCCTTCGTGAGCTCTGGCGGGATGCCGTCCGGGCCAGAGGCCTTCCCGGTCGCCATTCGTTCCGCCGCCTGGAGAACTTCTTCTTCGGTTATTCCCGGTATGCTCCCGTTGTCCACAACTGATTGTGTGTGTCCCCTCTCAAACGCTCCGTAGGGGGGGAAGAGCTCCCGTACGGCGGCGTCGAAACGTCCTGGGGGACCTTCAGTCGTTTCTGTCCGATTTTCTCACGGATTATCCTGTAGGATCGTCCCCAAATGTCTTCTCGAAGACTCTCGCAGACTTCTTTCCATTTAGCCTTTTTCTGTTCAGGATCTCTCTCATTTATTCTCTCTTGAGTGCGTCGTACGTGATTTGGTAGTCCGCAGCTGCTCGGGGGGAATATCGATGTGGCGTCGTGCACGGACGAGTTTCCTACGAGCTTTGTTGCAGAGCTGCCTTTTCTTCGCGATCTCTGCGGTTCACCAGTATGCTGGTTTTCTATTGCCCATGTTTCTGGGTTCTGCCGGAGAGGATTCGCTGCGTGTTCCGTTCAGTATGTTTATCACGGTCTCTGCATTCACGGGACTTTCGTTCCTCTGGACCTCTTCGCATTTTTCATTCATCGCTCTATGGAGAGCTTGCTCGTCTAGCCGTTTCGTCCTGAGTCTCGATCTTCACGATACCGTTTCTCCAGTCGTTGAGACGGTGAAGTCTGAGTACTGGTGATCGCTGAGCGATTCGATGCTTTCGTCAACTCGCCAGTCCTCGACAAGCTGGCCGTGATTCGCCATGGTAAGGTCTACGAAGGTCTCAGTCTCTCTTCTCCTGAAGGTTGGAAGCACCCTATTGTTGAAAATGATAAGGTTGTTTCTGGCTATCATTTCCTCTAGTTCTTTACCCCTCGACGAATTTTCGGCGCTCCCCCATGCAGTCGAGGCGGCATCGAAGTCCCCGGCTACTATGATCCTGTGTCTGGGACTCTCTCTAACAACGGTTTGTATTTTGTATCATATCTAGGTATTCTGTGAAATGCTCCAGCTTGCTATTTGGAGAGAAGTAGCAGCAGTTTATTTGTAGAGTCTTAAGCATCATTTTTGTTGGATTTGTTCTTCTTGGATTGTATCGTGACCCAGGCTCCCGTATAGATGTCTCTGGTCGCAGGGCTCTCCGCTTGTTGCTCAGCTGCTTGTCCATGACGTGCTCCGTTGGTTCCTGAAGAACTTCCCGGCTTTTCTCCGGTCGGCGTCTCAATTACCCCTTGTTGCTGAGCCATCGTCGGTTTTCTCAGCTGTGTCTCCCTCTCCGCTCTCTCGATATCCTCGAGGGCCTTCCTGTACCCCGGGCAAGCTGAAGAGTACGCTGTGTGTCCAGAGGCTTCGCATTTGTGGCAGGATTGCTTGGTCGACTTACATTCTCTCCTAAGGTGGCCCTCTTCTCCACACTTGTAGCACCTTCGAGGTTTCTTTTCCCTCTGGCAGGTCGCTGTCCGGTGTCCAAGCTCTTGGTAGTTGTAGCAGACTGGGACCGACTTCCATTCTTTGAGTGTGCACATCTGCCACCCGATCTTGATTCTTCTCCTTTTCGAGAGGGCGTCTGCGTCGCTCCTGCGGAGTCTTAGCAGAACCGACCGGTCTCCGGCGTCGTCGGTCCTGATTTCCTCAACCTTGATATCTCCTTCATCTTGTAATCCAAGCATCGTGCGTATTGTAGTTTCCGCTTCTCTCTCCGACGTGGAGGGGTCGAGGTTATAGACCGCGACTGTAGCTGCGAGGGGGGGGTTCTTCATAGTCGTTTCGAGTTGCATCTCTGTGGCTATGTAATTCGCGAGCCTGGTCTGGCCTCCCTTTCTCCTCTCCTAAACTTGGGGTCTAACTCCGCCTTCGGTCTGCTTGACTCCCTGTATGTCTACTTCCAGCTCCTTCGGATCCATCTTTTTTTGAGTCTCTTTATGACGTCGGCGAAGCTCTGATTCCCTGTTCCGACGAGAAGCGAGCCCTGGAGGGTCCTTCTCTTCGGTGCGTGTTTATACTCAGCCCGCGAGTCTTTCGTGTCTTTTTTTTCTTCATTGAGATCTCGGCTTGGAAGTCGAGGCCATTTGCTATCCAACACGCATCAGCCAGCTTTCTGATTGCGTCTGTGTCGCCATTGGCCGGAATCTGAATGAGGACCCTTTCGTCTGAGCTCTCATTGACTTCTTTGTCCTTTTGAGCCACTCCTTGTATCAGTTCGGCCAATTCGATGAGATTTGCCTTCTTGCCGATTTTCGCGACCACCAGTGTTTTCGTCTCCCTAGTCGCCTCTCCCTGTCCGTGACGTTGGAGTGTCGAGGGCAGAATGATTTCCGTTGTTGCTATCTCTCCGTCTCCCAGGGGACCGAGGTATTTCAACGATGGGAAGAAACGCATCAATTGTTGGATTACATTTGTAGTTCGTTCCTCCTTGTCTTCGTCGTCGTGGATGAGGACTCTGCATTTTCGGTCTGAGAGCATCCCTGCCTCCGTCGTGTGCACTTTTTCAAAGGCCTGTTTCGGCCACTCCTCCTGAGACAGCGTTACCATTGGTTCCAAGCTCTTCAATTGTCACTTCCTGAGTTTGATATTTTCGCTTGCGAGTCCTTTCCGCCTCTTCTTTGGATCTTCTGTTTGGGTCTGCCCTTCTCGGCTTTCTCTGCTCTGAATGCCAAGGAGTTGCTTTTCCAACTCCTCGCACCGTTGCTCGAGCTCGGACCTGTCTGTCCTGAAATCCGTGCACATATCTTGTACTGTCGAGAGGATCTCAGCTTCGAGGACATCCGTTTTCCGTATCAGTTGAGCGGTGAGCAGTGGCGTACCCGAGGGGGGGGGGG